CACCTATCTCACCTCACTCTTCTGTCTCACCTCACTCTACTGTCTCACCTCACCTGTCTCAACTCACTCTTCTGTCTCACCTCACCTATCTCAACTCACTCTTCTGTCTCACCTCACTCTTCTGTCTCACCTCACTCTACTGTCTCACCTCACCTGTCTCAACTCACTCTTCTGTCTCACCTCACCTATCTCAACTCACTCTTCTGTCTCACCTCACTCTTCTGTCTCACCTCACTCTACTGTCTCACCTCACCTGTCTCAACTCACTCTTCTGTCTCACCTCACCTGTCTCAAGTCACTCTTCTGTCTCACCTCACTCTTCTGTCTCACCTCACCTGTCTCAACTCACTCTTCTGTCTCACCTCACTCTTCTGTCTCAACTCACCTGTCTCACTACTCACCTGTCTCACACTACTCACCTGTCCTCACTCTTCTGTCTCACCTCACTCTGCTGTCTCAACTCACCTGTCTCACACTACTCACCTGTCTCACCCATCTCACATTACTGACCTGTCTCATATTACCTGCTTAGACAATAGTCAGCCCCGCGTCTGCTGCGAATGAATTCCCAATTTATATTGAAAATTTCCCAATTCCTCAGAATTTACGAAAGTAAGAATGTTAAAATAATCGATGTTTGAACAATATCTCAATTTCATCCCAGTTTGTTTGCCAAGGGCACATAGTTGGGAATCCTAAATCAATCCCTGGTGTGACAGTCGCCATGTGCCACACACAGAACATGCTACACACAGACAGCATGCTGTCCCACAGAGACCATGCTGCTTCCCCAGTTCACAGGACGCTGGCTACCTCACCTCAATACTTGACACAGATGGCCATGCATGGTAGACTGGCTAACAGTAATCATATAGCTGTGTGATCCTGTCATACATAATGTATTGTAACCTCAAACAGACGGGATAATCGAAGCATATTCATTTCTGAGGCTCATGTGGATAAAAAGGCTGGCTGTGTGAATGAAACACACGCCACAACCATCAGTGAACTGTGGAGACTGGGATAGGGACGGACTGAGGACATCTCATCTGTGGAGACTGGGATAGGGTCGGACTGAGGACATCTCATCTGTGGAGACTGGGATAGGGACGGACTGAGGACATCTCATCTGTGGAGACTGGGATAGGGACGGACGGAAGACATCTCATCCGTGGAGACTGGGATAGGGTCGGACGGAAGACATCTCATCTGTGGAGACTGGGATAGGGACGGAGTGAGGACATCTCATCTGTGGAGACTGGGATAGGGACGAACGGAAGACATCTCATCTGTGGAGACTGGGATAGGGACGGACGGAAGACATCTCATCTGTGGAGACTGGGATAGGGACGAACGGAAGACATCTCATCTGTGGAGACTGGGATAGGGACGGACGGAAGACATCTCATCTGTGGAGACTGGGATAGGGACGGACGGAAGACATCTCATCTGTGGAGACTGGGATAGGGACGAACGGAAGACATCTCATCTGTGGAGACTGGGATAGGGTCGGACGGAAGACATCTCATCTGTGGAGACTGGGATAGGGACGGACGGAAGACATCTCATCTGTGGAGACTGGGATAGGGTCGGACTGAGGACATCTCATCTGTGGAGACTGGGATAGGGACGGACGGAAGACATCTCATCTGTGGAGACTGGGATAGGGTTGGACGGAAGACATCTCATCTGTGGAGACTGGGATAGGGACGGACTGAGGACATCTCATCTGTGGAGACTGGGATAGGGGCGGACTGAGGACGTCTCATCTGTGAAGACTGGGATAGGGACGGACGGAAGACATCTCATCTGTGGAGACTGGGATAGGGACGGACTGAGGACATCTCATCTGCGGAGACTGGGATAGAATTGGACACAAGACATCCATTAGTATAGTCTACGAGAACAGACATGGTTTGGGCAAGGAGACTGAACTCGACAGATCCTCTGATATCTCCAGCCCCGTCACCTGTGTCTTGGAGGTATGTACCCCCAGTTTCCTGTGTCTTGGAGGTATGTCCCCCCATTTCCTGTGTCTTGGAGGTATGTACCCCCCAACACCTGTGTCTTGGAGGTATGTACCCCCAGTTTCCTGTGTCTTGGAGGTATGTCCCCCCATTTCCTGTGCCTTGGAGGTATGTACCACCCAACACCTGTGTCTTGGAGGTATGTACCCCCAACACCTGTGTCTTGGAGGTATGTACCCCCCATCATCTGTGTCTTGGAGGTATGTACCCCCCATCACCTGTGTCTTGGAGGTATGTACCCCCCATCACATGTGTCTTGGAGGTATGTACCCCCCATCACCTGTGTCATGGAGGTATTTCCCCCTCCCCCCCATCTCCTGTGTCTTGGAGGTATGTACCCCCCATCATCTGTGTCTTGGAGGTATGTACCCCCCATCACCTGTGTCTTGGAGGTATGTACCCCCCATCACATGTGTCTTGGAGGTATGTACCCCCCATCACCTGTGTCATGGAGGTATTTCCCCCTCCCCCCCATCTCCTGTGTCTTGGAGGTATGTCCCCCCATCTCCTGTGTCTTGGAGGTATGTCCCCCCATTTCCTGTGTCTTGGAGGTATGTCCCCCCCCCATCACCTGTGTCTTGGAGGTATGTACCCCCCATCACATGTGTCTTGGAGGTATGTACCCCCCATCACATGTGTCTTGGAGGTATGTACCCCCCAACACCTGTGTCTTGGAGGTATGTACCCCCCAACACCTGTGTCTTGGAGGTATGTACCCCCCAACACCTGTGTCTTGGAGGTATGTACCCCCCATCACATGTGTCTTGGAGGTATGTACCCCCCATCACCTGTGTCTTGGAGGTATGTACCCCCCATCACCTGTGTCTTGGAGGTATGTACCCCCCATCACCTGTGTCTTGGAGGTATGTACCCCCCATCACCTGTGTCTTGGAGGTATGTCCCCCTGTCTCCTGTGTTTCTGAGATATGTCATCCCTTATCTCCTGTGTTTCTGAGATATGTTCCCCCCCCCGTCTCCATTGTAGCTGGTTGTTGTCGGAACACCCAACGTTACCATTGTAGCTGGTTGTTGTCGGAACACCCAACATTACCATTGTAGCTGGTTGTTGTCAGAATACCCAACATTACCATTGTAGTTGGTTGTTGTCGGAACACCCAACGTTACCATTGTAGTTGGTTGTTGTCGGAACACCCAACGTTACCATTGTAGCTCGTTGTTGTCAGGACATCCAACGTTACCATTGTAGCTAGTTGTTGTCGGAACACCCAATGTTACCATTGTAGCTGGTTGTTGTCAGGACATCCAACGTTACCATTGTAGCTGGTTGTTAACAGAACATCCAACGTTACCATTGTAGCTGGTTGTTGTCGGAACACCCAACGTTACCATTGTAGCTGGTTGTTGTCGGAACACCCAACGTTACCATTGTAGCTGGTTGTTGTCGGAACACCCAACGTTACCATTGTAGCTGGTTGTTAACAGAACACCCAATGTTACCATTGTAGCTGGTTGTTGTCGGAACACCCAACGTTACCATTGTAGCTGGTTGTTAACAGAACATCCAACGTTACCATTGTAGCTGGTTGTTGTCGGAACACCCAACGTTACCATTGTAGTTGGTTGTTGTCGGAACACCCAACGTTACCATTGTAGCTCGTTGTTGTCAGGACATCCAACGTTACCATTGTAGCTAGTTGTTGTCGGAACACCCAATGTTACCATTGTAGCTGGTTGTTGTCAGGACATCCAACGTTACCATTGTAGCTGGTTGTTAACAGAACATCCAACGTTACCATTGTAGCTGGTTGTTGTCGGAACACCCAACGTTACCATTGTAGCTGGTTGTTGTCGGAACACCCAATGTTACCATTGTAGCTGGTTGTTGTCAGAACACCCAACGTTACCATTGTAGCTGGTTGTTAACAGAACATCCAACGTTACCATTGTAGCTGGTTGTTGTCGGAACACCCAACGTTACCATTGTAACTGGTTGTTGTCGGAACACCCAACGTTACCATTGTAGCTCGTTGTTGTCAGAACACCCAACGTTACCATTGTAGTTGGTTGTTGTCGGAACACCCAACGTTACCGTTGTAGCTGGTTGTTGTCAGAACACCCAACGTTACCATTGTAGCTGGTTGTTGTCGGAACACCTAACGTTACCGTTGTAGCTGGTTGTCGGAACACCCAACGTTACTGTTGTAGCTGGTTGTTGTCGGAACACCCAACGTTACCGTTGTAGCAGGTTGTTGTCGGAACACCCAATGTTACCATTGTAGCTGGTTGTTGTCAGAACACCCAACGTTACCATTGTAGTTGGTTGTTGTCGGAACACCCAACGTTACCATTGTAGCTGGTTGTTGTCAGAACACCCAACGTTACCATTGTAGCTGGTTGTTGTCAGAACACCCAACGTTACCATTGTAGCTGGTTGTTGTCGGAACACCCAATGTTACTATTGTAGCTGGTTGTTGTCGGAACACCCAACGTTACCGTTGTAGCTGGTTGTCAGAACACCCAACGTTACCATTGTAGTTGGTTGTTGTCGGAACACCCAACGTTACCGTTGTAGCTGGTTGTTGTCGGAACACCCAACGTTACCATTGTAGCTGGTTGTTGGAACTACCAACGTTACCATTGTAGCTGGTTGTTGTCAGAACACCCAACGTTACCATTGTAGCTGGTTGTTGTCAGAACACCCAACGTTACCATTGTAGCTGGTTGTTGTCGGAACACCCAACGTTACCATTGTAGCTGGTTGTTGTCAGAACACCCAACGTTACCATTGTAGCTGGTTGTTGGAACACCCAACGTTACTGTTGTAGCTAGTTGTTGTCGGAACACCCAACGTTACCATTGTAGTTGGTTGTTGTCGGAACACATAGTTACGATTGAAACTTTCTATACAAGATTTGAGGTTCTAAGTTGCCTTAGTGGAATGGTGAAGTCCATGAAACTGTAACATTATGATGGTTATCTGGAGTGTGTAACCATGGAAACTTCCTGTTTCAGAGCAAGGTTTTGCTTTGCCCTCGTCATTGGCATCTTTGTCCTCGCTGTCCTCATCGTGGGTCTGTACTTCATCACGACGCTTCCCTCCCGCGACACTCGGGGTAGCGGCTCCAAGCTCGGCAAGTACCCCCACGCAGCCGTCGCCTCCGATGTGGGGATCTGTTCCGATATAGGCAGGTGTGTAGCCATAGCAACCAGGTGTCTATCCATAGGAACCAAGTGTGTACATGGCTGTGTGTGATGTGGTGTGTACATGGCTGTGTGTGATGTAGTGTGATGTGGTGTGTACATGGCTGTGTGTGATGTGGTGTGTACATGGCTGTGTGTGATGTAGTGTGATGTGGTGTGTACATGGCTGTGTGTGATGCGGTGTGTACATGGCTGTGTGTGATGTGTATACATGGCTGTGTGTGATGTGGTGTGTACATGGCTGTGTGTGATGTGGTGTGTACATGGCTGTGTGTGATGTGGTGTGTACATGGCTGTGTGTGATGTAGTGTCATGTGGTGTGTACATGGCTGTGTGTGATGCGGTGTGTACTTGGCTGTGTGTGATGTGGTGTGTACATGGCTGTGTGTGATGTGGTGTGTACATGTCTGTGTGTGATGCGGTGTGTACATGGCTGTGTGTGATGCAGTGTGTACATGGGTGTGTGTGATGTGGTGTGTACAAGGCTGTGTGTGATGCAGTGTGTACATGGGTGTGTGTGATGTGGTGTGTACAAGGCTGTGTGTGATGTGGTGTGTACATGGCTGTGTGTGAGGTAGTGTGTACATGGCTGTGTGTACATGGCTGTATGTGATGCAGTGTGTACATGGCTGTGTGTGATGTAGTGTGTACATGGCTGTGTGTGATGTGGTGTGTACATGGCTGTGTGTGATGTGGTGTGTACATGACTGTGTGTGATGTGGTGTGTACATGACTGTGTGTGATGTGGTGTGTACATGGCTGTGTGTGATGTGGTGTGTACATGACTGTGTGTGATGTGGTGTGTACATGACTGTGTGTGATGTGGTGTGTACATGGCTGTGTGTGATGTGGTTTGTACATGGCTGTGTGTGAGGTAGTGTGTACATGGCTGTGTGTGATGTAGTGTGTACATGACTGTGTGTGATGTGTGTACATGGCTGTGTGTGATGTGGTGTGTACATGGCTGTGTGTGATGTGGTGTGTACATGGCTGTGTGTGAGGTAGTGTGTACATGGCTGTGTGTGATGCGATGTGTACATGGCTGTATGTGATGTGGTGTGTACATGGCTGTGTATACATGGCTGTGTGTGATGTAGTGTGTACATGGGTGTGTGTGATGTAGTGTGTACATGGCTGTGTGTGATGTAGTGTGTACATGGCTGTGTGTGATGTAGTGTGTACATGGCTGTGTGTGATGTGGTGTGTACATGGCTGTGTGTGATGTAGTGTGTACATGGCTGTGTGTGATGTAGTGTGTACATGGCTGTGTGTGATGTGGTGTGTACATGGCTGTGTGTGATGTGGTGTGTACATGGCTGTGTGTGATGTAGTGTGTACATGGCTGTGTGTGATGTAGTGTGTACATGGCTGTGTGTGATGTGGTGTGTACATGGCTGTGTGTGATGTAGTGTGTACATGGCTGTGTGTGATGTAGTGTGTACATGGCTGTGTGTGATGTAGTGTGTACATGGCTGTATGTGATGTGGTGTGTACATGGCTGTGTGTGATGTAGTGTGTACATGGCTGTGTGTACATGGCTGTGTGTGATGTAGTGTGTACATGGCTGTATGTGATGTGGGGTGTACATGGCTGTGTGTGATGTAGTGTGTACATGGCTGTGTGTGATGTAGTGTGTACATGGCTGTGTGTGATGTAGTGTGTACATGGCTGTGTGTGATGTGTGTACATGACTGTGTGTGATGTGTGTACAAGACTGTGTGTGATGTAGTGTGTACATGACTGTGTGTGATGCGGTGTGTACATGGCTGTGTGTGATGTAGTGTGTACATGGCTGTGTGTGATGTGTGTACAAGACTGTGTGTGATGTGGTGTGTACATGGCTGTGTGTGATGTGGTGTGTACATGGCTGTGTGTGATGCGGTGTGTACATGACTGTGTGTGATGTGTGTACATGGCTGTGTGTGATGTAGTGTATACATGGCTGTGTGTGATGTGGTGTGTACATGGCTGTGTGTGATGTGGTGTGTACATGGCTGTGTGTGATGTGGTGTGTACATGGCTGTGTGTGATGTGGTGTGTACATGGCTGTGTGTGATGTTGGGTGTACATGGCTGTGTGTGATGTGGTGTGTACATGGCTGTGTGTGATGTGGTGTGTACATGGTTGTGTGTGATGTAGTGTGTACATGGCTGTGTGTGATGTGGTGTGTACATGGCTGTGTGTGATGTGGTGTGTACATGGCTGTGTGTGATGTAGTGTATACATGGCTGTGTGTGATGTGGTGTGTACATGACTGTGTGTGATGTGGTGTGTACATGGTTGTGTGTGATGTTGTGTATACATGGCTGTGTGTGATGTGGTGTGTACATGGCTGTGTGTGATGTAGTGTGTACATGACTGTGTGTGATGTAGTGTGTACATGGCTGTGTGTGATGTAGTGTATACATGGCTGTGTGTGATGTAGTGTGTACATGACTGTGTGTGATGTAGTGTGTACATGGCTGTGTGTGATGTGGTGTGTACATGGCTGTGTGTGATGTGGTGTGTACATGGCTGTGTGTGATGTAGTGTGTACATGACTGTGTGTGATGTAGTGTGTACATGGCTGTGTGTGATGTAGTGTGTACATGACTGTGTGTGATGTGGTGTGTACATGGCTGTGTGTGATGTGGTGTGTACATGGCTGTGTGTGATGTAGTGTATACATGACTGTGTGTGATGTAGTGTGTACATGGCTGTGTGTGATGTTGTGTGTACATGGCTGTGTGTGATGTAGTGTATACATGGCTGTGTGTGATGTAGTGTGTACATGGCTGTGTGTGATGTAGTGTGTACATGACTGTGTGTGATGTGGTGTGTACATGGCTGTGTGTGATGTGGTGTGTACATGGCTGTATGTGATGTAGTGTATACATGGCTGTGTGTGATGTGGTGTGTACATGGCTGTGTGTGATGTGGTGTGTACATGGCTGTGTGTGATGTAGTGTGTACATGGCTGTGTGTGATGTGGTGTGTACATGGCTGTGTGTGATGTGGTGTGTACATGGCTGTGTGTGATGTGGTGTGTACATGGCTGTGTGTGATGTGGTGTGTACATGGCTGTGTGTGATGTAGTGTGTACATGGCTGTGTGTGATGTAGTGTGTACATGGCTGTGTGTGATGTAGTGTGTACATGGCTGTGTGTGATGTGGTGTGTACATGGCTGTGTGTGATGTGGTGTGTACATGGCTGTGTGTGATGTAGTGTATACATGGCTGTGTGTGATGTTGTGTGTACATGACTGTGTGTGATGTAGTGTGATGTGGTGTGTACATGGCTGTGTGTGATGTAGTGTGATGTGGTGTGTACATGGCTGTGTGTGATGTAGTGTGATGTGGTGTGTACATGGCTGTGTGTGATGTAGTGTGATGTGGTGTGTACATGACTGTGTGTGATGTAGTGTGATGTGGTGTGTACATGGCTGTGTGTGATGCGGTGTGTACATGACTGTGTGTGATGTGTGTACATGGCTGTGTGTGATGTAGTGTATACATGGCTGTGTGTGATGTAGTGTATACATGGCTGTGTGTGATGTTGTGTGTACATGGCTGTGTGTGATGTGGTGTGTACATGGCTGTATGTGATGTAGTGTATACATGGCTGTGTGTGATGTGTGTACATGGCTGTGTGTGATGTAGTGTGTACATGGCTGTGTGTGATGTGGTGTATACATGGCTGTGTGTGATGTTGTGTGTACATGGCTGTGTGTGATGTGTGTACATGGCTGTGTGTGATGTAGTGTGTACATGGCTGTGTGTGATGTGGTGTGTACATGGCTGTATGTGATGTAGTGTATACATGGCTGTATGTGATGTGTGTACATGGCTGTGTGTGATGTAGTGTATACATGGCTGTGTGTGATGTAGTGTGTACATGACTGTGTGTGATGTGTGTACATGGCTGTGTGTGATGTAGTGTGTACATGGCTGTGTGTGATGCAGTGTGTACATGGCTGTGTGTGATGTAGTGTGTACATGACTGTGTGTGATGTAGTGTGTACATGGCTGTGTGTGATGTAGTGTGTACATGACTGTGTGTGATGTAGTGTGTACATGGCTGTGTGTGATGTGGTGTGTACATGGCTGTGTGTGATGTAGTGTGTACATGACTGTGTGTGATGTGGTGTGTACATGGCTGTGTGTGATGCGGTGTGTACATGGCTGTATGTGATGTGGTGTGTACATGGCTGTGTGTGATGTAGTGTATACATGACTGTGTGTGATGTAGTGTGTACATGGCTGTGTGTGATGTAGTGTGTACATGACTGTGTGTGATGTGGTGTGTACATGGCTGTGTGTGATGTAGTGGGTACATGACTGTGTGTGATGTGGTGTGTACATGGCTGTGTGTGATGCGGTGTGTACATGGCTGTATGTAATGTGGTGTGTACATGGCTGTGTGTGATGTTGTGTGTACATGACTGTGTGTGATGTGTTGTGTACATGGCTGTGTGTGATGTGTTGTGTACATGGCTGTGTGTGATGTGGTGTGTACATGGCTGTGTGTGATGTAGTGTATACATGGCTGTGTGTGATGTGGTGTATACATGGCTGTGTGTGATGTAGTGTATACATGGCTGTGTGTGATGTAGTGTATACATGGCTGTGTGTGATGCAGTGTATACATGACTGTGTGTGATGCAGTGTATACATGGCTGTGTGTGATGTAGTGTATACATGGCTGTGTGTGATGTGTTGTGTACATGGCTGTGTGTGATGTGTTGTGTACATGGCTGTGTGTGATGTGGTGTGTACATGGCTGTGTGTGATGTAGTGTATACATGGCTGTGTGTGATGTGGTGTATACATGGCTGTGTGTGATGCAGTGTATACATGACTGTGTGTGATGCAGTGTGTACATGGCTGTGTGTGATGCCGTGTGTACATGACTGTGTGTGATGCAGTGTATACATGACTGTGTGTGATGCAGTGTATACATGACTGTGTGTGATGTGGTGTGTACATGGCTGTGTGTGATGTGGTGTGTA